TTCAGAAAAAATCATGCATTTAAGCTGGGCAATTAGTTTTGTTTTTTTTCCTTGAGGCATTGTGTGTTTGGAAATCCATGGGGGCTGAGCAGCGCTAGGCAGAATGGTGTACTTGATACTAGAGGAGGGGTGTAGGGTTTGGGGTTAATCATCTCCCTCGCCCATTCACATAAAAACATCTGATAAGAATAGATTTGTTGCTTTAAAAAATAAACACATTTTCTTTCATTCCAGCTGCGGGAAATGGAGGAAGAACTGAAGTATGCTCCTCTGCCTTTCCGCAACCAAATGATGAGCAAAATCCGGGCGTACAGAAGAGACCTCTCCATGTTCCAGAGGGAGATGAGAAGCACAGATTTGGGATTGGGCCCTGGAAGTCAAGGCGATACAAAATACGGCATCTTCTCCACAGAAAATGAACAGAGTGTGAGAACTAGATACAGATTTTATTTCTCATTGCTGTGATTGTTTAAACATAAGTGTTCCAGATGTATTATTTACAGTGTTTCTACTTTAATCTGCTTAGCTTCTGTGCTTGTACAACTCCCTGCATTATCTCTCTGCACATAGCATGAGTATCTCAGGGAGGAGAAGGAACACCTGGAACTCAAAGGAGAGCTCTTCTGTTCTAAAACAAAGATATGAGTATAGTCCAAACGGAGCTCTCGAATGCCATGCAGTTAGGAGCTTACACAATAGTCCATACTGAAATGCTTTATTTAATCATTCCGCTACAGCGGTGGAAACACAAAAGTGATGGTACTGACTGAGAAGAAAGGTTAACTCAGCTAGTGTTAGTCTCCAAAACTAGCAAAGCCTGTCAGTCATGCACTGTATAGATTCTTTGGTAGAATTCTCTTTTTAGCAACCTCGGAGTAAATAATTTCAAGAAAATATTAATTAGTCACCCTCTAGCACTTTGTTCACTATGGATGTACTGCTACTGTGCAAGAAATGCACCAAATTCTTTGTTTACCAGATATGCTTAGGTATATCTGAGCTAGTGAGGCTCAATCTGCTTATTATCTTCAAAGTGCTGTCAGAAGGTTCATGGAGGTGAACTTTTTGTTTGTCTGCCTTCATAAGCAAGGCTTGAGGGAGGCTCTTTCCTTAGTATCTCATTCTGTATACTCTGCAGTAGCTTGGTAAATATTTGCATTTGATTCCTCTTGATTGGTTCCTCTAAAACCTGAGAGCAGGTAGATTAGACTGTCTGAAGCCTGAGAAGATACTTTATTCTGAGCTACCTTTTTACCCCAAGGTCAGCAAACGTTTCTTATCCTCTAGCCGAGGCTACTGGCATGACAAGAGGATCTTTGTTACTTAGCAGTCCATCTGTTGGTGCTGTTTGTTCCTGTGTAAACTCTTATTGATCTCTCTTGGCAACCAGTGTGAAGTCACAAACAAGACTGACTTTAGATAGGAATGGAAGGAAAAGTTAGCCCCTGGAAAGCAAAGATATTACTTTCATTTAAAAGTTCTTTGATGGAAAAGAAAATTGTTGCAAAGACAGTTTTTTGTAACTGTTTTAACTGTTCAGCTCTGTGTCCTTTTTCAAGGTTTAACCAGATTTTTGCCATAATCTTACAGTGTGAACAAGAACTCTTTCAAAATTAACTGGGCTACCTCAGTTAACGTAAAAAGCGTGTACAGCTAATTCAAACGGGTGGCCTATGGAGTTGCATCCTAACTTTTTAATATGTCAGAAGCCTAATACCTCTGTTTTGTGCTTAATAGTTAAGCATACGTTATTTTTCAGACTCATCTGCAGTCACAGAGGGTGCTGCTTCTCCAGGGAACAGACAGCCTGAACCGAGCCAGTCAGAGCATCGAGCGCTCGCACCGAATTGCTGCTGAAACGGATCAGATCGGCACCGACATCATCGAGGAGCTCGGGGAGCAGCGGGAGCAGCTGGAGCGCACCAAGAGCAGAGTGAGTGGAGAAACCGTGGGGCTGGTATCGAAGCAGCCTGGGGTTTGCTCACTGGGAACTGCACACCAGTGACTTCTCTCGGAGACCTCCCTAGGTCCTGTCCAGGCTGCCATATGTCTGTGCTGTGCTTAAAAAAGGAAAACAATTACTGTAGAAGGGCCCAAAGCATGATGGCCAAATGTCTGCTGATATTAGACCTATAAACCTGCTAAAAAGAAAGTATTACTGGAAAAATTACAGATTTTAAAAAATGATAAGGAGTTGCCCATTACTAGTAAAGGTTTAGATTTGGGAGGCAGCCAGCAAGTTCTTCTAATGGCATTAAATGTAATTACTAACCTTCTAATATTTGTAGGTTAGCTAAGGAGGGAGAAAGTGGTGTCAGACAAGATGCCTGTCCCTCGTCCTTAGGTCAGGAAAGAAGCTCTGCTTTTACTGTGGAAGCTTTAAAAAGTAGTTCATCTGGGGTTTTTTATATACATATGCAAAACGGATAATTCAATTTTTGGAGTAACAAACTGACGGCATTTTCTGTGTGTATGAGGGATTGTGAGTGTAAAGCTTTTAGGTGAGTGACTTGCAGGGGGATGCTGAGTTTGGCAAGTAAGGACCCTCAGCCAAAACAAAAGGCACACCCCCTTTCTTGGGAGTTTTCTCTACTTATTGCAACAACAAAGCCTGTAGCTTTTCCCTTTAGGTAGTTTTTTTATTTCAGTCAGAATTTCATTTACTCTTTTCCCAAATTTGAGTTGGAGAGCGGGAAAGTAAATGTGATCTTAAGGTTTGTAGCTTTAGTTTTTGTCTGTTCTTTTTTTAATAAAAAATATTACAGCCCTTCAAGCATGTCAGTATGTCCATAGACTGTTCATGAAGCTGTGGCTTTTATTGTGATCCTTTTAGGCTGAATTATATTGCTGAATTTTATTAACCCCACATTCCAACTAGAAGACTTTCTTCTTGCTTGGCCTTTCACAGCAGAGATTGGCAGCCTGGTGTGCTTTGAATGGACTCGGCAGTAGCTAAAAGGACTTGTGGTGTCTGTGGTGGTCAGTGACCTGGCTTATCTTGTGCTTCCCTGCAAGGTGTGGAAGTGGAATAGTGAAATCTTACCTGGAGACCTCCCCTGGTCGGCTTTTTTAGTTGTTTGTGACCTCATTTAACTACGTGCTTCTTAATGGCTGACTGAGAAATACTTGACAGCTCATTTCTGAGCATTACAGAGCTGAAATGGATTATCTATTAACAGTTCAGAGCTCATTTCCACTGGGTCACTTAGACCTGTCAGTGTAACATGGTGCTAGGATTGAACAGCATTTCAAACGCTGTTCCAGATACGCGCTGGGGAGAACATGTCACTGTCACTTCTATTGTCAACAACTAGAATGAAATGAAACTTAATGAAAGGAGCTAATACCAAGTTTCTGGTATTTGTAGATTTACTAAAGGGGCATAAAGTGATTCTAAATTGCATAGCTTTGTATGTATCTAAGGGAAAGTATACATCAAAGTTTTATTATTTCCTCCTCTGAACTGCTTCCCATAATTGCAGCATTTCAACACTGGCTGCTTCCCTGTGCACCTGTACAGAGCTGCTGTGGCCTCATTCAACTGACGGGTAACTTTTGTTTCTTCTTAGTTGGTGAATACAAGTGAGAACTTGAGCAAGAGTCGCAAGATTCTCCGTTCCATGTCCAGGAGGTGAGTAGTGTGACTGACTTGGGCAGCACTTGGCAGGTAGCGTTTTTGCCTGCTGGTTTCAGGCAAAAAACAAGGAATAGAGCGTCAGCTGGAACTGCAGGGAGGTTTTAAGGAATGTGTAAACAGTGTGTGCCCATGTGCAGATGATAATTAGTTTTTTTTCCTCTCTGGTAAGTGCTTCACAGAGTACAGGTGGCTGAGCAGGACTGAATTTGTGCTGCTCCTGTAGTATAATGCAGGGTCTTTAACCATCCTGCATGATAAATGGTGGTGAGGACACCAGCAAATTGCTGATGGTAACTTTAGATGCAACTTCTTGTTACTCAGGTTGGAAAAAGCTGGGCCATAAATCCCTGCAGCATGAAGTGAGTTAGAGGGCTGATGACACAGACAAATCTGTTTAGCCCGTGGTAATGCCCTGGAGTGGTCACACTGTCATTTGAGAAACTGAGCCTGGCCACGAACTGTTTTGATGACTGAAGCCTCGGCTGCTTAAGTGTATTTGCAGCTTCTTAACTATAAGGTTTAATTATCCTTATAAACCAGTATAACTATTTCCAGTAGGTACTTCCTAAAGGAAGTTATGGTAACTGTATACTTTTCAATAGTAAAATTACATTATTATTTTAAGATTTTTATCTTACTTGGTAGATATTGAAGTCTTACTTCAAAGCCATAGTTCCTAGTAAAAGTACCAGAATGTGGGTTTTAGCACAGAAGTTAAATTGATGTTTTCCCCTTTGCTTAACTGAATGAGTAGGCACAGAGCAAGCAGGGTCAGGGAAGAGGAACAGAACCGCTACTGTCAAAGAGAAGATTTAAGGAGAATTTCCAGGAAAGCATAAGCAGAAAACTACTGAGTTTATCCCTTTCTGCTTGTTAAGAGTTATATAATAGCACTTTGTGGTCTAGCTGTAATGGAGACTATGTTTATTATACTTAGTGAAGGTAAAATGGTGATCAAATTATCTAGAATCTGCTTTCATAATCAAGGGGGGGAAAGCTATCTTGGATTTATTTTTTTTTTTTTTATTATTTTTTAACTCTAGAGTAGCCACTAACAAGTTGTTGCTGTCAATCATCATCATCCTGGAACTAGCCATCCTGGGAGGTCTGGTCTACTACAAGTTCTTTCACAGCAGATGAATCTTCGTGACCAAGATGAGCTTTTCCACTGTTGAGGACGGGGACGGACTGTCTGTTCCCTGTGACTGTCTGAGAGGATTGAACTGTCTCATGAGACAACGTGCTCAGCTGAAACTGTACTGACTCTAGAGAGACAGAATGGGAGTAAAAGGAAAATGCAGAGACAGACTTGAACTACTGGTAAGGTTAATAAGAAGGTAATAAATATTTTATTGTCTCAATGTAAGGTTAAGAAGAAGGTAATAAATATTTTATTGTCTCAATTTGTATATACTTAACTAAATGAATAAATCTTGGTATGTAATAAAGTAGCCACCACTCAGTGGAAAAGCTAGTTTATTTAAAAATTGAGAATTTAACAGTATTTGCCAAGTACTGACAATCTATCCACTCAAGTGCCTCAGCAGAGCTCTATAATGTCCAATGTACCCAACACTTTGGGTTCTTAAATCCTCACTTGCTCTTCACTGTCAGATTCATCTGGAGAACTGGGTGTTGGGAGTTCATCAAAAGCGGTGTGTGCTCCTTCCCTTGTCTGCCCAAAGCACGTCGCTATCACGTCGACTGCGAGACTAGCAGTTGCATTCACCTCCTCTTGAGAAGCTCCAAGCAGAGGATTGACTTCAACCATGTCTACAGCGGAAAGCATTCCTGTGAAAATGATTTACAGCTTTGTTACTGTGAAAAAGGGCAAAAATCTCTAATAAGGTTTCTTTTGCAGCCTTTCATTGATCGCATCAAGGCTGATATTGAGCTTGTGGACCTACTTTACTCCTTAGACAGGTAAAACTGGCTCTCAAGTGAGGGATGAGGTTGTCTGTCTTAGATGCAAGTTTGGGGTTTTAATTTGGTTCTTTCTTGCATTGTCACTACCTCACTCGTTCATGCTTTTAGCATGAGGAAATTGAGTTTGATGTTCCATACACACTTATGAGGGGAATGGTTTTTAATCTTATTTTCTCCCAGTCCAAAAATTAGGGGATGTAGAATAGTCTCACCTAGAATTTTTTGCCATTGTATTCATGACTGTTGACTCTATCTGGTTGGGTTTTTTCCTTCTTTCACTGCAAATAACTTATTGTTTAAACACATTAAATAAAAACTCCATGGCATAAGGAAGAAAGTCCTCACATACTGAGTCCACTGCAGTATATTTGGTAAGAGCTTGGTTTGTTAGCCCTGAATCCTAGAATGGAACTTCAAACTGTTTAAAATTGTTTGCTTTTTTTTTTAATTATTATTACAAGTGCCCATTTTTGCATCTCACCTCATGTGTTTAGGAATAGCAGACAGTATTATACAAGATGCCCAAGTCATTTTTGGCATTAGTTGTTAATATATTATGTATTTAATTTAATTTTGGCAAGTTGAAGATGTTGATGGTTAAGCTGCTTCTAACAGCAGGGATATTGCCCAACCATAGGACTTCTTTTCCCCTTACTGAATGGGAATTGACTCTGTAGGCACCTTTAGCTTTGACTACAGGTATCTTATCTAGTTACACAGGAAGAACATAACCAATGGTCTGTAGGTAGTTGGTCCTGTCCTTGCTTAGTCCGATACTGCTGGTTGGCTCCTACCTGTGTTGTGTATTTCCTCCGTGATGTACATGCCTTCTCTGTAGGTTAGTCCACCCAGAACAGGAGTCCCAGTTGCTGGAGCCAGCGAGGGATCAAAAGCATCAATGTCAAAACTCAGGTGAATTGGTCTCTGTCTCCTGAGAGAGAGTAAAACAAGAAAAGCAGTCTCAGAACCTTAAACTTCTATTTCTTACTGTCCAGGCTGATCAGCAAAGTAGCATCGTGCTCCGTGATGCTAAAGGTCTCCCCCTATACCATGTCTTCTATACATTTCAAAAGGATTTTAATACCTTTGGACTCTGAAATATCCCTTAGCTCAGAACTTTCCCCAGTATGTTTTGGGAAAACAGAAGTTTGTCTTTCTGGTTTTACTGAGTATCCACTCACATGATTTGGCTGAAGATAAGTACTTCACTTCTAAGTATCTTGAATGGTATTTGTCTCAGTTGGAAAAATGTAGAGAAGTGTATGATTTAATCCAGCCTTTTCTCCTTTTGTACAGAAAGCCAAGGTGAAAGGCTGAAACTTTGATTTGCACCTAGGATGGAGGAAGCACCAAGCTTGAGGATTTAATAGACAGCTCATCAAGATGTACAGGGCATTCTGTATTTTTCAGGCAGCAGTCAACTATTGACCTCTAAACTCTGCCATGTAAGCTTTGCTGGTGAAAAAATGAAGGATAATCTCAAACCTGAAACATTAGTTCCAGTTACTACTCTAAGTCTGGCAACCAATAACAGCCTAAGAAATGGAACACTGCTTGTCATTCAGATGAGCTATTGAAGTGGCAGACTGTATAATGTTTATTCTAGACTCTGAGTTCGTTGAACATCCTGTCAAACTGCAGCAAAATGCAGAATTCCTCAAGAAATAGAAAAAGTTATATAAAACAGAGCCACAACTGTAGTGATTTATAGAACCTGTCTTGTAGCTTTTTGCCAAACACTGGTTCCAGTTCAGCTGTCCCAGTTGGGTTAGGCCACCTGACATCAAAAGTGACCTTCACTTAAGTAACTTTCAGGTAAGTAGATATTCAACAAATGGAGGATAAGAGGACTTTAAATCAGATAATAGTTTGTTACCTGCCCATCAGTTGTTCAAATGTTCTTTCCATAACTTTCTGAATTCCAAGGCGATCAATGTCCCTCATGGAAAAATACTGGATGTCATAGTTCTTCAAAATATAGCTGTTAAAATATTTTTTTAAAAAGTCGTTACTGGCCTAAACTTAAATACAACAACCCTTGTAAACAGCCAGATGTGGCAAGAAGCTCATGATTTCAGCCTATTATAAAAATCCTTTAAATCAACTTACTATTCAGCAGGATCCACATCCCTCAAACCAATGTACACAATGTCAGAGGCTGAGAGGCAGGGCTTTAGCCAGGAAAAGCCAGGAAGTTGTGGTACCTGCAAGCAAAGGCTCAGTATTAGGTTAGTTTAATGATATATATAACAAAACTGTATTTAATGCTTCCCTTAAAACTTTATTTATCGCATCCTTTCTCCGTCTAATCAGAGAAACTTCATCACTTGAGAGTTTGGCTCCCTAATTTCATCAGTCCTTACCTTTGTTGTACCATTTTACCCAAGCTGAATGTTAACAGATGAAGTTTTTACCTCTCCTACATTTTCCAGTTTGAAGAGGAGGAATAAAAAACCCAAACCCACAAGCAGGAGGTGTTCAGCTTCAGCGAATGTAGGGGAGAATGATAAGAAATGGGATACCTGGATATAGATCCCTTACACAGTGCATTTCATGGTAACGCTGTGTAACTCACCCAGCACACCAAGAATGAAAAACAGGGCACCTGTGTCTTTTTAGGAGAAACGCCAAAAAATTAGGCAAACTGTGTTGCAAAAACAACATTAAAGATGGGCAAATTCAAAGTGGGAATAAAGAGGGAATTAAAATAAATTTAAAAAAAAAAAAAGCATGACAGGAAGTGGGGCCTCCACATTAAAAACCCGTGTGATGTAGCCCAGTGTAAAACTGAAGAGAGCAGGTCAAAGCCAGCAAATGAAAGATGAGATCATAATTTTTCAGCTTTGGTAATTAAGTAGTCATGGGATGCATTTATAAAAATCCTTCAGTTAGTAATATCTGCTAATTTTAGGAGTGTTTTAAATTAACTCAAATTTCTCTTCTTCCTCTCCCAGCTCTGAAAATGGCTACAGCCAACACAGCTGTCAAGCAGCAAGAAGCTTTTGTTTCCCTCTTACACCTCTCAATTACTGATTATATTGTAGTTACATTTGGATTTGTTTTTAAAGGCTAACACCCATAGCTATATTTAATTACTTTGGGATTAAATAAGCACATATGAAAAAAAGTATTTGTTACTCTGGGGCAATGACCTGAAACTTTTCTGCAGTCATGAATTCAGAAGAGGGATAAAGGGAGACCACTAGGAAAAATAATTCAGGTCTCAGAAATGAAGCTGCATCTGCAAAACCCAGCTGAGCATAGTATTGATAATATTGTCAGATACTCTCTGGTATCGGAGATTTAGTAGATTTAATACTGGCATTTTAAATTATAGCTCTTCCTCTTTAATAAAGAAAACTGAATGCTTCAACTTCTTTGGTAGGCTCTGTTTTTCCTTTGTTGGAATAGAAAAGGAGCTGCTGTAGTAAAGCCAAACAGGCAGCAGAAAAAGGCACAGGCATTTTAACGCTAAGTAACTAACAGCCGTTTATGCTTCCGGGAGGCCTGACACTAATGCTCAGTTTGAGGAATGTTGGTCAAAGGATTATTTTATAAATATTTTCCCTTAAAACCACAAAATTAATTTAATAAGTTTTTTTAAGAATGTTAAAGTGCTGCCTCGCCTGGAGGAGTACCACACAGTGCTCCTGTGAGGCTCACTGGACAAACAAGGAGCAGCTGTGAGTGGCCTGGGCAAGCAACATAAGGATACATAAGGGATTCTGAAAACAGGCGCAAGAACATCTAACCTGAGGTGTTCTTGGCAGTTGCTGCCACATCAGCTTCCCCGGTTTTGCTGTGCCAGGACAGCTGTTTGTAGGGTCACAGAGTGACCAAGGGCTAGGACTTGGTGAGTCTCAAAAGCTAACCCAACAGAGAGACAGTGCTCCTGACAGTTCCTCTGCAATCCCACAGAAGGTGACAGCAGCTAAACTGTGTGGCTAGTATGGGATCAAGAACAGTCTAAACAGATTGTGCCACCAGGAGACACACACATTATACCACTATCTACGTCTCATGGCCTCTTGATAGGGAATGAGGAACAAGGAACCTGGAGATGTGGGAAGAGCAGTACCTGTTAGTAGAGCCATCAGTTAGCAGGGCAATGAGTCAGGAAGATAAAATGTAATCATGCAGGCTATTTTGCTCTCTTTTTATATCGCATGGTTCTACAAAACAATCTAGACAGGGAGCCATGAGCTAACTAACCTTCCTCAGACTTCAGTTGGTGACCAAATCTTGTGACCCAGAGAGGCAGTTTGGGGCAATTATGGGAGTCCTCCCCCAGAAGCATACACACAGATGTGGCAGGGGAGGAAGGGGTTGCTCAAAAAAACCCCAAAAAACCTCTTCACAGCATGAGTGAAAGCAAGGAAGGAGATACAGGGCTCACCACAAAAATCTCCTCTGTACCCTTTGACAAGATAGAAACCTCCTGGAGAGCAAAATGCTCTCAAGTTCACCTGTTGCTTTGAGAATGAAGTTACGCTTAGCAGAGCGTAGGACGAGAGTAGCCTTCTTGCTGGTAGCAGTTTTAGGATTCAAAACGAATCCTTGCAAAGCAGTCAGGAGAGAAGGACAGGCAATTTTCTGTCCTGTTATCAGTACAGCTGCTGACTGGATGAGAAGAAAGCAAATAGGTCTGTTCACCCATAGAAGTTCCTTCCAGTTAATTAGCTATGTAGCCAGACAAGCTGATGGCAAAGGCAGACTCTACTACTACTAAACAGCTGTTTAAAAATATATACTCTTTGGGAAGCCTTCCTGTACCAGCAGGACAGATGTTGTTTTTCTTCCCTCTAAACAAGAATACAGTATGGTAAGAAAACCCTCTAAGTGAGTACATGCCTGCGTGTAGCTGCAAATACAGGGTGAGGGGCTTGTGCGAGATGTTTCTGCATAGGCTTCCTGACAGCTAGGATTTTGGTGGCCTTGTGACAAGATCTCCTAATCAGCATAATCAGCACCTGACTAACTCACCTCCAAGCGTAGCCTAAGCTTACTCCTTCTTCCCTACTGCTGCTGCCCAGAGGCCTGTCCCCCCACTGGCCCCAGAAAGGTCACAGTATTCTTTTAGTAGCTCTTCCTTTCTCTCCTGCAGAATTAGGTGCAGGTGCCAAAAAGACAAAAAAAAAAAAATTACCCCCTTTAACTTATGGGCAAGAAACTGGAAATACAGTAACCTTTCACATTAACCTCATGTCCTGGGTGTGTTTCAAGACACCCCATTAATTTTGCATTACTTTGGGAATTCTAGCATATTTGTAGAGACCATACAAGAATTATTAGAAGGAGGAAAGTACGTAAAAGCACCAAATGACTCTATTGACTTGTGGATGGAATTAATTTAAAAGAATCTTCAGGAGAAAAAGCAGAAAAGCTTTACCAAATGACAGCAATCTTGCTATGCCAAACAGGTATTAACACAATGGTATCTTCAATAGCCATAAAGACATTAAACATGCTTGATCTCACTCGGAAGGGACATACTTCCATCAACACATTGCCCTCGTATATATCAGAGAAGAAAAAGAAATCTAAGAGCAGTGACAAGCAGCACAAAGTGCGAGAATGAAATAGTCGGGTTTATCTGCAGCTCCAGCATCGGTTTTCAACCTGCAGGTGCTGACCCTGCTGCCACTCTCCAGCCTGACCTTCAGCAGAAGCAAATTGTTATATGCAAGTTCCTACTGCAAAGGCCCCTGCTGTTCAGTGCACAGGTGCCCCTCTGGAGTGTCTCCGGGAGGTGCTACAGGTACCTGCACAGGGAGGTACAGTCCACAACTAAGCCAAAAAGGATCTGTAGGCCTTCAGTCAACCTACAACCTATTTAGCATCTTGACATTAGCAAAAACTGGTCATGCACAGTCCATGTCACCCACTAAACAGTTTTTTTTGATAGTTTGACTTCTTTCCAAGACAAAAACTAGCTCTTTAAAAGCACCCTGTAAGCAGGTACACCTGTTCCAATTTGTAATATTTGCCAGCGGAGCCAAAAATCAGAGCAGCCAGTGAGGAGAGATCATGCAGGAACAGCCCCCGCCAGGCCCCAAGGCTGCCAAAACAGGGAAGAGCCAAGCTCAGCAGCAGCAGCACGCGCGGTATGCAGGAACCGCCAGCCCTGGAGGGGAGCTCAGCTGGGCTCTCACAGGCTGCGCTGGGGGGAGGTTCCTTCTGCTGCTCAGCTGGTGGAATTGCTGCAGTGTCTCAGCACCAGCTACACCGCGGTCTGCTGCTACGTACAGCTTGTGTGAACTCCTTACTGTACAACCCACGAGGGTGCTAGAACAATGAAAAGCTTTTTCTCATCCTTGTTTCTAGGTGTGTGTGTCTGTATGTCTATATTTACATGTGTGTATGCATTTGTGTATATACATCCACAAATAACACATATTTTTCCTTGTACTTGGATAAAAAAGGTATGCGTTTGCAGCAGATAAAGCACCTCACACCACAAGAAGTGAAATGCTCTGAGGATTTCAGTGTAGGCTCACTGTACAAGCCAGGTACTTACTTTATCTTGAAGCTCTCTCAAGAGAAATGAGAGAGGTTGTCCATGGAGGCTTCCAGACTGAGTTGTAAGAGGGGTGTTGATGTCAGCGTGTGCATCCACCCAGATCACACCAAGGTGTGGGCACTGCCGCGCGTGGCCACTGACAGAACCAAGTGCCAAGCTGGAAATACAGGAGCAAAATCTTTAGTCACTATTTCTCCTTCCCATACTCTAATCCTCACCCGCTCTGGCTCCAAATGATTTCTTTATAAATTATAAAATCTAGTGTGCTCACTAGTTCTGCCATTTTTTATTACAGTCATGATACCTGCCCCACAGTTCATTCTTACATGCCCTGCCTTCTTCAACCAATTCTCAGACCAAAGGTTAGCGAAAAAGAGGAGACAGATTCACATGTTATAAGATCTATTACAAAATGGTCCATGTGCAGGTATTACAAACCCATCCTAAGAGTTCACTGAGGGGCAAAAGAGACACAAGACATCATTAAACATTCAGCAATAAAAAAGCCACAACAGTTCCTGAAGGGACCTGATCACACAAACTTTCCTAACAGGAAGACCTCATTTGTATGTCTGCAGAACAGCCAGGAACTAAGCAGTACTGTCCTAGAGGGTCAGAATTTTGTAGCTGTGTTCCACCCTGAAAGCCCCAGTAACAAAACCAAAATGCTGCTCCTCTATGGTATTGGCAGGAAATAACCCCAAGTTGTTCCCACCATCCCCTTATTTTATAATTAAATTCTCATACTCCAAGTGTCAGCCTGCAGCATGCACCACTGCTGGCTTCTAGTTCAGCTCACCTGTGGTCACCTCCTATAGTCACGCAGCTGTGTCCAGCGGCTACTGCTCTGCTCACAGCATCAGCCAGCACCTGGCTGGCTAAACCCACCGATCGTGGATATAAAATCAGGTTGTTGTACAGTTCATCATTGGGAACTTGAGTGAAATTCAAATCTCCAAAGTCGTACACTTGACATCCTGGAAACACAGCAGCAAAATAAGAAAGTGAGTTAAGTGCCCAGAAAAATGTTCAAAATATGATCTCTTCAGAAGGTCAGTTGGGCAAGTATGAACGGAAGAACTGGAAGGGAATGCATTCATTTGACTATTTGCATGCCCTTGCAAACAGTGTCACAACTTTACAGATTAGAAAGCTTAAAGTTGTCATATCTTATGCCTAAATTAAAGTGGCAATACTATCACAGAAAGTCACCTAAAAAACAGTTCAGTTTAAATTTTTTCTTGGCAATTTTAACATGAAAAAGTACAGTTTGTATTGTCATCTTCTTTCCCAACTGGAGCTATTGTACACAGCCTTAAATAAGCTCAGATGTCCAAAGGTGCCTAGGACTACACATTTTGCTAATGATACCTGAGTCCTAATGGTTATTTTTCATTTTCAAACCCCATGAAATCCAGGCACAGAAGTGCCAAGTTGCCAATAATGGAAAGTTTTTTACAGTACTTGCAGGCAACTCCGTGGAGGATGCACTAGTGTTTTGGAAGAGAACCTGTCCGTTGTCTCAACACAAGATGTTGTAGAAGGCATTTTAATTCTGAGGCTTTGATCCCAACCCTCTTTGAGATCCTATCATTGCCAGTTACAACTGAACCAGCCTTTGAAGCCTGGCAACATTCTGGGTCTAAAACTCAGCCTTTCCTAAAATGTATTTCTGCCTAATTACCCTGAAAAGAAGTTCACTTCACAGACAAGGAAACAAGGGAACATTTTTGAGTGTTGTTTACCCTCCTCCACCCAACTGGAAGCATATTTATTAATTGTCTGCATTTAAAGTTTAATTCTCATTCATACACATTATAGAACTTATCCTTAGAAGCTGTGCTGTCCAATACCACTTGTTTTCTTAACAATCATTTAGATACCAACATTTTTAACAGTGTTTAACAGGCCAGAGCCGCTCAGCTTCAGATAGGCCTTTGCTGCAGGCACTGATGAGGACTGGAAAGGCCCCGAGGGATTTGCAGCTACACCAGCAGTGGCTTAACAAGTCAAGACCACCCTGAATACTAGTCATGCCTGTCCCATTTGTCCCTCAGAATCACTAGTCTGTTTGCAGTTCAAAGCATCCAGGCTAGAGCTTGGCATTTTGCCTTTAGCCATCCTGTGCCTAACACGGCACTTTGGAAAATTCAGGCAAGCAAATCAACATGAAGAAACAGCCCACTTAGAGCTCTGGGCTTCCTGCTTAATTTCCATGAAGCCATTAGTCTAATATCTAGGAAACAGGCTCTGTGAATTTGCTTGGTGGAAACAACATAAAAGTAGCATTGAGAAAAACATGACATTATTATAATTTCAAAAGAAGTTTTGACTGGTGAAAATAATGAAGGAAAAATGGTTGAGTCACTTGGGAGAATTAGATGGCTGGGCCTGTTGGCAAGCAGACTTTTTGTAGCAGGGACGATGCTACAATGCAATGGACATATGTCAGGTTATTTGCTAGGAGAGGACATGTCAAGCTGAGCACAGCTACTTGGAAAGGATTAAACATACTCTCAGCCACTCTGTGAGAAAAACACCTCATCTGCAGAGACTTAAAGAAGTAAGCAGGACCAGGACATACCAGTCCCTGGTTTTCAAAAGGCAACACAGGCACACAACAGCATTTCTCTCCCCCACTGCCGCCTTAGGCAGTGCCTGATTAGCCAGCAGTACGATGGCTCTGGAATTTAAAGCCCATTTTGTTCAGATTTGAATGTGCTATCTCATCTCGCTTGTGACCACTCCTTTTTTTCCCCCTCTGTTTCATTCTGATTCTGTGCAAAATCGGAAGAGTTAGGAGTTTTGAAAGATGTCCAATGAATGTCAAAAATCTGTTTTTTTCATTTGTGTCTTCCTGCCAGGCTCCTGCTCACAGACATGCACACTGCTACACATGAGTATTTCAAGGTTTGATCAAAGTACACGAGTGTGCCCAAGAGACAAGTTTTGGTAGTAAGACTTTAAGACATTGCATCAGTCAATAGGTATCAAGGGCTTTTGGAGACACTGTACAAGTCAATAATACCTTTGATCTAATACCTCTGACAACTGTGAGAAGTAAATCTGCAGTTGGGAGCTATGTTCTACAGTTTACACATTGCAGAACAGCACATTACACAGTGTAATGGAAGAAATGACTGCCACGTATCTTGTTCTCTCTTACAGGACATACAGGCACAATACATAATTTTTACCCATTAAAGGATGAAAAAGAATGAAGTATCTTGGGGGCACCTTTCAGCCTTAAATAAATAAATTAGCTTGAAACAGTTTGTGCAGTAGACCTTTCCTAGATCAACTTATTTTACACATAATGGTTTAGGGAAAGGTCACATAGGCATTCCACCAGCAGACCTGGGGTTGGAAGGTGGTCATTTCTTCAGCCTGCACAGCCAGAACTAGAGCTTCAGTTATATCTTTTACAGGAAATCAGCATTTTTCACAATTATTAGCCCAACATAGGGAAAAAAGGTAGAAATACAAATACAGAAGACATTTAAGAAAATAAAGTTTCCTGCATGCCTTTTCAAATAAGCTATTGATGTAGCACTCGGGCCCAAACCAATGATGCTTGTAACTGGGACATAAGATGCCCTTTAGCAAGGTATATGACAATGGGAATGTTTACTTCCTACCATCTTAAGCAAAATACAGTCCATTTATTCAGTACCCACAGTAGGCAGCAGTTACTATAATACGTCATTTCTCTGCACAGATTTAGAGAAAATTTTCTTCCATAAAAGCAGGCAGCTCATAAGTCTGGGGGCATTTAACTGGAAAACAGCTGGGCAGCAGCAGGGAAAGCCTCCCTCCCATCCTCTTCTACTGGGATACTGCACCAGAGCCAGAAGCAGCAATCAGAGCAGGAGAGCTTTCAAAACCCAGGCTATCTGCTGACAGCGCCCAATGGGACTGTAACAATTATAACAGCTCTCCTAGGCAGCAAACAGGAATTGGAACAAAAGCGTGTGGAACATGAGATAGAAGTGATCTCCTGACATTGCCTGTTTGCACTGGATATTTGTGAACTAGAGGTTAAAAAAAATTCCTAAATTAATGGGAAAATTAAATCTTTCCTCTTCCAGGTTTCTAAATCCTACTGAACTACTTTCAAAGTAATCTGGAAATCCCACTGGTATTAGATTTTACTTCATACTATGTGTTATATAAAACTTTCACATGACAGCATCACTCCTGCAAACTGTTTTCTCAGATTACAGCCCATTTGGTGAATTACCACAGACGCAGAAAGGCTTTTCAGGAAGCAATAAGTATTATGAATAGTGTTTATACATAAACTTTATATTTTCCTTCCTGTGAACAAAACAAAGGGCTACAAGCTCTTGCCATCCTTCTTTTCAGTATAAACTCACTGTCTTATGGTATGGACTTTGTAATCATTTCTCAGAGATACTGTCAAAGTGTTGCACAACAGCAAACAAATGACTGAATTCATTATGACCAGTGCATTCTGGAGCCTAATTTAAGGTAGTTTTAACCCTCCAGAATTATTCAGGGTGTGTGTAAAAAATACAGAAATGAACTGTGTACTTTTGTTTTATATGAGTATGAAATTAGCAAGGTTCCCACTACAGGACTTCCGCAGCCTTGTTTAATCATAAGCTTCTTGCTTGGAAGCTTGTTATGCAGCGTCTCTTTAAACTGAGTATGTATCTGCTGGAAGAAGTCTCCCACCAAATACAGACATTTGATTGCAAGCTCTAACATTTCACTTCTTAAAAGGCAAGTTCATGTACCTGCCTTTTGGTGTCTTGAAAGGTCTGATTTAAGACAGAGTTTCTGTACCCATACCTATTCAAAAGGCTCCATAGAACTATGGAATGGTTTGGGTTGGAAGGGACCTTAAAGATCATCAAATTCCCCCATAGGCAGAGACACCTCCCACCAGACCAGGTTGCTCAAAGCCCCATCCAACCTGACCTTGAACACCTCCAGGGATGGGGCACCCACAGCTTCTCTGGGCAACTTGTTCCAGTGTCTCACCACCCTCACAGTAAAACATTTCTTCCTAATATCTAATCTAAATCTACCTTCTCTCAGTTAAAGCCATTACCCCTTGTCCTGTTGTTATACTCCCTGATAAAGAGTCTTTCCCCATCTTTCCTGTAGGCCCTCTTTGTTACTGGAAGGCTGCTGTAGGGTCATACATACAACAGCAACAAGCAAACCCAATTCCAATTGCTACCCCAAGTCTGTAGTCCCAAGTTGTCCCTTGCATAATATATATGCATAATATATATATTTTTTTTTTCTGACCCCAAATCAAGCAGCCACATAAATATTTTTTTTCTGACCCCAAATCAAGCAGCCACCTCATTTCCTTTTGATAACTGTTTATAACTTCAATCTCTGATAACTTTTTATAACTTTAATCTCTTATGAAATCCAGTGTGCTTGACCTGAAGAGGTCTCCAAAAACGTCAGTATGAGGTGTTGGGAAACATTTGTACTGTGACTTGCATCAGAGAGGAGACAAGGGTGCAGCTATTGCAGTCTGCCACTAATTCTCTTCAAATAAGCTTAACCCAGAAACAGCTCCCAATAGCAAGAACACAAGTAGGCACTTAAAGCCATAGGAAGTCATAATACCAACAACAAGATCCTTGTGCTTTAGATTGCTACAGAGGTCTAAGTATTTATTATATTGGTTAACCCAGATAAGCAACACTTGAGAAGAAGGGAGAGCAGAATACATCGAAGATTATTGAGGTTCTCTCCCTTACTTTTACCAGCTGCAAGAAAGTAACATCAGACCAGCTTACTGCTTCATATTCAAATGAAAAAATCTGATTTTGGGGGTGTTTGGTTTTGTTGTTTTTTTTTAATCTGACATCAGTGCCTCATTCCCTGCTTTTCACTAGGTGGTTTTACAACAAAAGTTTCCACTTTCCATCCAACAATAATCCTCTGTACCATATTCACATAAGCACATACCTGCCATAGGAATCTTGGTCTTGTGAGTCCACAATGAGAGACAGGATTAAAATTTCAAATGAGAGAATAACTGATTCCATCCACCATAAAGCAGATCAAAACTCAACTCATTACCTAAATGATCCTTCTGTCATCTACCCCTCCTCAGTAACACCT